TTTTGTAAGAAAAAGTTTAGTTTGGGGGGGGGGGGGGTTAATTTATATTCAGGCCTAAATATTGCATTTAAACATCGGTGCATAAAAAAAGGCTCTGGCACAGACAGTGGCTAAATCATCATAATTTTACCTTCCTCATTGATAGCAATGTGTTTCCCCTACAGGTTACATTCTGCAGAAAATCATCCAACAATGCTAATTTCTGGTCAGAAATGTGTTCAAAAGGACTTAAAAAGTTACTAAAATTTCCCCTTTAAAGTTGACAGGCTTGTGTTAAAATTTTTTACCAAATCCTCTGAAAAAATCTTCAAACGCTTGAACTTTTCCACGGCCACTGAATTCCTCTGCTCGGTCCAGAAGCGCCTCTTTTACAGTTTCATAACCACTTAGGACAACGATAGGCTTATGGCCAAAATAAACAGTATATACCACTCCGTATTTGTCTGCAAACTAAAGTAGAAAAAGAGGATTTTTTATATTTGGCATACATTATTCAACGAAATAATAGGTTCTTAGACACTATAATTCAGAAAGGGGGAAAGATCATAAGTTGTGTTAGCACAGGCATAATAAACTATAATGTACCAACAAATATAACTTGGCCATCACTCACCTAACAAAAACTTGAACAATTAAGGTTTGGCCACAACTGAAATGCTTATTTGTCCAACAATAATGGCAACTTACAAACTGCAGTTGGCAATAGCAAACCAGTGCCAGCCACAGATTATCTGTAGGCGCCCAGCATAACATGGCTCAAAGGCCTGTCCTAATCGTCAGTTCAGGACATCCAATTAAAGCATATCTAAGCCCAAAAACAAAAATATATATATTTTCATCTTACTAGCCTTTAGATATGGTGGATGCATACAGTGAGGTCACAAGGGGGGTGCAGGGGTGCCACCAACAGAGGGGGGTGACACCAAAATGACTGGCAGTCAGGCACTTGGTCACGGACTGAGAGCCCCTACAGCGGCACAAGAGAAGGGGCCCGGAGGCATACTTAATCCTGTTGGGTCAATATCCCCTCCTCTCTTTGCTGGCACCCATCATCAAGTTTGCTGCCGGCAGTGAAGTACATCACTTCCCAAGACTGATGATGTCACACCACAGACATCATAACGCATGCATGGCGGCCACAGCGGGTGACACCCACCCTGATGCCACCGCTGGCTGCATAGGTTTTCTTTTTCAAACTCTCTCTATTTGTATAAGGTGAAACTACCAGAAACACACTTCCGGACCTAAGGTGAAAAGTCTCAATTACCCTTCTGTATCAGGTCAACAGAAATATAAAAGGATCATAGACCCCCTTCCCTTCTCCCATTGTCCATAACATAGAGGGGTTGGGTTGTCTACATAAGAGCAATGTACCTGTTAACAGTCAGCACAGGCAGAGAGTACAGGAGGTTTTCAGCTTACAGGATTTCTGATATGATCATAAGGTATGTTTTTGAATTTATGAAACAAATAAAACAAAATGATTTATTTATATATTTACAGGGACAAAAGAGACCAAATAAGAGGTTCATTGTTAGGGTTTAGATACACTTTGAGGACATGAATCATGGGCAATTTGATCGATGGCAAGGTAAGTCCCTTTGACAAAGCTGCAACAATAAGAAGAAATAGGACAGAGGGTGGAAATGATCAAGAAACAGGAACACGTCTGTTGGCTGGATGAATATGATTCAGTAATTGTGACCTTTCTTTGCACCCACACATAGGTAGCCAACCTCCTGGCCCACCCCTTTAGATGATCTAACCAATAACCAATAAACCAAGATGATCTAACCAATAAAATCTAATTTTCTTGAATTTTTAGAGAGCATAGGTCCCACAGTAACACCTATCCTTGTTGGAAGCCATGTTTCCAACTGTCAGGAGCCTCAGTCAGTACAACTCAGTTCCATTAGGTTTCCGTTCACACCAAGGTGTTTTGTCGCTCAAATCTTTGAGAGACAAAATGCTCAATACAAGCAATCCCATTCATTTCTATGGCTTCTGTTCACACCTGAGCATTTGTCCTAAGCAGAAAAATGGCTGTCACTGGAAAAAGTACATGAGCTAATTTTTGGCAGATTACAGCATGTTTTGTCCCATAGACTTCAATGGAAAACACCCAGAAAACATGCAACACAAGCATTTGCTCACATTTGTCACACAAATGTCAATCCTTCTTCTCTCAAAATGCATGACAATCACATGTAAAAACATGCAAAAAAAGTGCAACACAAATGCTATAATAAACGCGTGAAAAGCTGTTGCCTAGGTGTGAATGGAGTCTTAAACAGGAAAGACAAAGACGTCGTAGAATAGAGGATGTTCAGCAAAGTATAATCCTGTTTGTTTTGGGTTTTTTTATTATTTCCTTTGCACATGATTATATTTTCATAGTAAACATGCCTTCTTCATCTTATTCACTTTCCTAGGAGCGTCTATTCCTTCAGTAAATCCACCCCAATGCAAAAGAAAGAAATCACAATCCTGATATCCATGTAGACAAATGCAAGAAGTGTCCTTCAGGTTTCTCCTTGCTTTTAGAAAAAAAAAACCCCAGTATGAAACATACTAAACATTTTTTATATAAGATACATATATAGCGTATTTTTCGCTCCATAAGATGCACTTTTTTCCCCCTGAAAGGCGGGGGAAAATGTGTGTGTGTGTCTTATGGAGCGAATACCTACTTTTTGTACATTTAGCCCTGCTAAAGCAGAGCTAAACTTAGAGTGGAAGCCGCTGCTCGTTTAATACAAGTGATCTATTCAGATCACTTGTATTAAAACCGGGCGGCGGCGGCGCCCACCCCCCGATCCTCTGGGGGACCCGTGACCATGGGATAGGAGCTCACCATAGAGCCCCTAGAGCAGACGAAGAACGTCCGTTCTTCGTCTGCTCTGTGTGATCACTGAGACCATGGCTCTGTAATCACAGCGCCACCTGTCTCAGCAGTCACTTACTGCAGCTTCTGTCACAGAAACTGTGACAGAAACTGCTTGCGTCCTATGTACCGGTGCGCCTTATGGAGCGCAAAATACGGTACTTTGTATGTTTTACAAGTAAAGTATCTATATACTGTATGGTATCATAGGTTATCATTGTTTAACTAACATATTTGTATACAAGAATTTAGAATTTAAATATAGTGTTTGTGCTTCCCATGCGGTTTTCCATGCGGAAGACCGTGCAGCATGCAATCGCTAAAATCTTTCATCTGCATGGGTTACTCCGTCAAAAAATCGTGCTTGTATTATTTTGCGGATCTCTGATATGCTTTACTATTTTAATGTAACAATAAGAAGAAATAGGACGGGAGGATGGGAAATCATGAGGAAGCAGGAACATGTCTGTTGGCTAGATGAATATGAATTCAGTCATTGCGACCTAACTTTGCGCCCACACATAGGTAGCCAACCTTCTGGCCTCCCCTTTAGAGCACCTAACCAATAATCTTGCTTTACAAATGCCGCTTGACAAAAATTTGTCTTTGTTTTTAAATCTACAGCTTTAATTAAAACTACCTATTGATCCTGATGTGAAGTTCCTTGTTCAGGGACTTCTCATTATAGGGTGATAACACTCTCTCCCTGTCTCCCAGTTGTGCTCCTGCATTGCTCCCTGTCACACGGGCTTCTGATGGAGACTACAAGTAGCTATTTCAGCACACATTTGCGCAGACATGGTCTACTGTTGTCACCAAGAGAGAAATGACAGGCAGCCATTGCTGGAGTACATGCATGTAAAATTATTTCCTTTGCACATGATTATATTTTCATAGTAAACATGCCTTCTTCATCTTATTCACTTTCCTAGGAGCGTCTATTCCTTCAGTAAATCCACCCCAATGCAAAAGAAAGAAATCACAATCCTGATATCCATGTAGACAAATGCAAGAAGTGTCCTTCAGGTTTCTCCTTGCTTTTAGAAAAAAAAAACCCCAGTATGAAACATACTAAACATTTTTTATATAAGATACATATATAGCGTATTTTTCGCTCCATAAGATGCACTTTTTTCCCCCTGAAAGGCGGGGGAAAATGTGTGTGTGTGTCTTATGGAGCGAATACCTACTTTTTGTACATTTAGCCCTGCTAAAGCAGAGCTAAACTTAGAGTGGAAGCCGCTGCTCGTTTAATACAAGTGATCTATTCAGATCACTTGTATTAAAACCGGGCGGCGGCGGCGCCCACCCCCCGATCCTCTGGGGGACCCGTGACCATGGGATAGGAGCTCACCATAGAGCCCCTAGAGCAGACGAAGAACGTCCGTTCTTCGTCTGCTCTGTGTGATCACTGAGACCATGGCTCTGTAATCACAGCGCCACCTGTCTCAGCAGTCACTTACTGCAGCTTCTGTCACAGAAACTGTGACAGAAACTGCTTGCGTCCTATGTACCGGTGCGCCTTATGGAGCGCAAAATACGGTACTTTGTATGTTTTACAAGTAAAGTATCTATATACTGTATGGTATCATAGGTTATCATTGTTTAACTAACATATTTGTATACAAGAATTTAGAATTTAAATATAGTGTTTGTGCTTCCCATGCGGTTTTCCATGCGGAAGACCGTGCAGCATGCAATCGCTAAAATCTTTCATCTGCATGGGTTACTCCGTCAAAAAATCGTGCTTGTATTATTTTGCGGATCTCTGATATGCTTTACTATTTTAATGTAACAATAAGAAGAAATAGGACGGGAGGATGGGAAATCATGAGGAAGCAGGAACATGTCTGTTGGCTAGATGAATATGAATTCAGTCATTGCGACCTAACTTTGCGCCCACACATAGGTAGCCAACCTTCTGGCCTCCCCTTTAGAGCACCTAACCAATAATCTTGCTTTACAAATGCCGCTTGACAAAAATTTGTCTTTGTTTTTAAATCTACAGCTTTAATTAAAACTACCTATTGATCCTGATGTGAAGTTCCTTGTTCAGGGACTTCTCATTATAGGGTGATAACACTCTCTCCCTGTCTCCCAGTTGTGCTCCTGCATTGCTCCCTGTCACACGGGCTTCTGATGGAGACTACAAGTAGCTATTTCAGCACACATTTGCGCAGACATGGTCTACTGTTGTCACCAAGAGAGAAATGACAGGCAGCCATTGCTGGAGTACATGCATGTAAACGTGAAGTGGCTGCAAAGAGATTCCAATAAATCAGCAGCACTGAGATGCAGCAAAAGATAAAAAGACGAAAGCAGTATTTTCCAAAAACAAACAGCATGATAGACATCATTTAGCAAAATAAAAGTTATTTAGTTAGTGTTTACCTTAAATGGATTATTTAGGCTGGTTCTTACTGCAGTAACAACTGTAGAGATTTGCTGACCTAATTAAATTTAAAATAAAACCGGCCCATGTCATCTACCACTATAAACATTCAATGTACACACTGCTTTGTAATGTGCAGGCAAGGAGAAATCATAATGTGTACAATAACCTAAAGCAGCTGATAAAGTTTCAGTTTGCTCTAGCCATATAAAGATTTATTTTTCTTGATTAGTAACTGAGGATCTCCGTACTATGTTCATGCTCATTGCAGAACAAGCATTGATTTGTTATAAGTTTCTTAGTGTATGGGTTAACACCCAATTAATAACAAGCACACACAAGCATTGGATGAGCTCCTTTTTGCTTGCAGAGGTTTCCCCAAAGCTTTGGAAGATTTCTGCAACAGAATCTTCTTTCTTGTCCACAGAAAACAGAATAATTATTATATCATTCCTTTTGTTACCCAAGCCTCAGGAAAAAGATCATGATATTGTGATCTTACAAGCTGATCTCTTAATCCCTCTCGTACTCCGAGAGATCTGTCATCTAAACAATAAATTCAGATTCCTAGATCATTTTTCCATTACAACTGACCTCCACTAGGGATTTGACTAGTTCTCCTCTCCTTATCTGTAGCACATTGCCAAAAATGGGTAGCGGTGTTGGACCTGGCGGCAGGTTCCGGCTCCGATACATCGCGTTCCATGATGAGTATATAATAAAGGAGATGATCAGAGCCAGGAGCAGGGTGCTCATCCATGTTATGTCCATGTTGTCTTGGAGCAGAATGTTCGAACACTCTAAAGAAACACTGTTATGCAGTTAATAGATGATCGCTTAGCAAACGATTTCATTTTCTTGGCACAGTTTGCCCTGGATATGTTCAGCCATTGGTTGGCATCATTCTTACTTTTAGCTATTTCAGTTCTCAAAATTTGTATTTATCTATTGCAAAAGTCAACATGCAAGGCTTACTGTTATATAATCCTTTATTCACCCAGCTGCCAAAAAGGACAAACTATAAAAATGTGATTTGTGCTGTGGAGTTACTATGCTATTGCACTTTGTGTTATAGAATACAATTCAACGCCCTTTGGTATGTCTCCTTTGACTTGTATGTTCTTCGTAAGAGTCAAAAGGTAACAGCAGTTAATATACTTTCAAAATCATGCTGAGTACTCGTGATTAGTGCACAGTTTGGACTTTCCCCCACTGTCTTGCAGTGGTCAAAGACCTGTCCATCCGGAATGAGGTTTGGGGTTGCTGCCACTATGGGTTTGAGGTGCTAGCTAATACTGGAATTTGCCAGACCAAATTCTTTGTAACCATAATGCACTGCCTGGCCTTTGAACTTAAGGGCTCTTAGATAAGCCAACTCCCTTACTATAAAAGGGTAAGGTCACAGAAACCATATGTTCTTTACCTGTGTAAGGGAAAGAATAGGGAATGCTGCTGACAAACTTAATTTCAGAGATTAGTGTAAGACTTGTAGGAACCAGCAGGTCTGTTAAAATAGATGTAAACCATGTTGGTAGCAACTAGTTGAGCATCTTAAAGAACGGAGGGTTGGGGGAGAAAATTATTTTTCCCTTTTTTGTCCCTTCTTACATCTTAATTCTGCTGATGTCCTGCAGCCTCTTTACAGCTTGTTCCTGTGCAAGTGCACTTCAGTGATAGCAGGCTGCATGTGTTTTTTCATAAGGCATCTTTCCTTATTGGTGGTGGACGCAATTGTTTTTTCACATGCTATGGGTATTGGGTATATGAGGACACAAGAGGGGGTTGCAGTGCACCTTGAGTGAGGGTTTGCAGTGTTTTGGATGTGGCCCTACCAGGTATAAAATATGCCTACTTACATTGGGTCAAGTTGGACCTTTGTAAGTATACATAACATTTATATCTGGAGTTTAGCTTTAAGCAGAGGGGGGCAGAACAGTACATAAAGTGCTGCAAAAGGTCAAAATGTGTAAACACAAGACAGGCTTCTTTCTAGAAAACAATTTCACTTTATAAAGTGCCTAGAAAAGATTCCAGTCTAAGTGTACCTGAGGGCCACAACATGGAAGCTGTTCTGCAACAAAGACTAAAACCCCTTGCTGGGTGCCTTGTGAATACCAGGTGGCTTCTGATACACTGTGTTTTGAGTCTTGGCCAAATTGTCCACTGGCGCCACATTTTCAAGACAACCAGCACATGCTCCTAAATGTTGAGACACAAGGTAGTGAGAACAGGACCACATGTTGAGAGAGAGGGCACCGAGGGGGGAATTTATCAAAACTGGAGCAGACAGAATATGGAGCAGTTGCCCATGGCAACAAATCAGCTTCTCTCTTCAGTTTGTTCGGTTACATTTTTTAATTGAAAGATAGAAGCTGCTTGGTTGGCAGCTGCTACAGATATTCTCTGCTTCAGTTTTAATAAATTCCCCTTAGATAGTTCTCTGCCTAAAAATAAAAATAAAATAGAGCTTCAGTTCTTCTTGGATTTGAGAAAGTAAATTGTTTTTTTGGCAAAGAAAAGGAGAGCAAGGAAAAAAAGGAGAAGTATCAGGAGACAGAAATGCTGGCAGCAGCAGCGGCAGCAACAACGAGAATAACAGGGAAAAGTGTTTGGCCTTATGAGAAAATAAATAAAAAGAAAGTATCAAAAATGTAAATCTGTTTTATATATACAAACACATATACATACTATATAGTGTACATATATATAGCGATAATTGGTGGGAAAATGTTAATGTGCGACTGCCGACTGCTAAGGCAATGAACAAGAGGAAGGGGGCTGTTTTTGCCCGCTGGTATAGAAGCAGTTAAAGTGCCAAACTTGCATACAGGCACTGGCATGGGAATGTTGTTACTGGGATTGTGGTATGTGTGTTGGTGAGTGCTTCTTTGAGTTTCAAGGCTTCACTCTGGGCAAGGGCAGGCAGCCTGTGACAGTAGGATTGTATGCTTATTTTTTCTTATGTCTGCCTTTTCCCTCTTATTTCTGAGGAAAGACTCACTGGGAAAGACCAACAAGGACCAAGGGGGACTTCAATTGAGTGTTCCACCAAATGTGGTGCCCCCACAAAATCCAACTGGGTGTCCCTTCCCAACGGCAAAGTACAATATTACTGATTGTATTCCATATTATTCTTTTTATTTATTTTCCCTTTTTTGCATGGTTGTTTTTTTGCAAAACAAAGCAATATATATATATATATATATATATAATCATCATGTATCATATTTTTTATGTTTCTGTGTTTCCCCCCTTCTGTTTGCTGTAAGTTAGAGCAGCCCTTAATATAAAACTCCCACTCTTACACTGTGGCTAGTTCAATGTTAGTTCCTGCCTATGCAGAGTGCTGGATTGGAAGAGTAGTGTCTTTTTACAACACAATAAATACCAGGAAACATTCCCTGTATCTGCAAAGCTGGACAGACTGAGTTTTAGTATGTATTTTTCATAAAGTGACATATTAAATAGAACTGTCACATACCTTATGGAGCTTGAGGTGACGAGGGCGGCCTCTCTTGCAACTCTAGGGCTTAGTTTTTTGTGTGAACAAGAACAATCTACTGCTGCAGTGCATTCTATATGTACTGCACATGTACTACATATAGAATGCACTTCAGCAGTAAATTTACAATTCTGCGCTGCTAATATGAAGGGGTTAAATCATCAATAGTACATAACATGTAGTTGTACTATGGATCATTTCACCCATTCATGTTAGCAGGTCAGAATTGTAAATCTACTGCTGCAGTGCATTCTATATGTACTGTACATGTACTACATATAGAATGCACTGCAGCAGTAAATTTACAATTCTGTGCTGCTAATATGAAGGGTTTAAATGATCCATAGTACATAACATGTAGTTGTACTATGGATCATTTCACCCATTCATGTTAGCAGGTCAGAATTGTATATCTAATTCTGCAGTGCATTCTATATGTAGTACATGTACAGTACATATAGAATGCACTGCAGCAGTAGATTTACAATTCTGCACTGCTAATCTGAATGGGTTAAATGATCCGTAGTACAACTACATGTTATGTACTATTAGGTACTATGGATCATGATTGAACCTATTCATGTTAGCAGGGGATAATTGTAACTCTATTACTGCAGTGTACTGCACGTGTGTACTGTATATGTACTATGGATCATGATTTAACCTATTCATGTTAGCAGGGCAGAATTGTGAGCGTCTCCCACAAGCTGAGCATCGAGATGCAATGCAGTGATCCTGCCCAGCGCCGACTACGAGAGGCCCCGCGTGAGGCAACAGGGATCGGAGTGAAACTGTGATTGAGGGAAGCTGGGGCAGGGCTGGCTGTAAATCTATTGCTATAGTGTACTGGACATGTGTAATGTATATGTATTACATATATACAGCACACACCTCCACTACATTACAGCAATAGATTTACAATTCTCCCCAGCTAACATGAATAGGTTAAATCATGATCCATAGTACATAACATGTCGTTTTACTATGGATCATTTAAAGTCACCTGCCCCTTTAAAAAAAAGTATCGGTAATTGGTACATGAGGGGAAGTACTTGTACTTGGTCCTGAAAAAGTGGTATCGGGACATCCCTAATTCCCTACTCCTAACTATAGCTCAGCAGACCTTGGTTCATCTAATCCTTCTTGCTGCCCAATTAACTATTGCCAGGAACTGGTGAAAGCAGATTTTTCCTTTTAGGGAGGGCAAGCAAAGGGTGGATAATGTAATGAGTTATGAGTGCTTGACATGCATTCTGGATGATAATCATAAAAAGTTTTAAAAAATATGGGAGTTAGCCTTGGATATCTTATGCCCATCCAGGTATGGACTTTGATCAACTACAGTGGCTATGATGGTTCCCCACCTTCCACCTAAGGGTTGAAGGCCTGGCCCACCCCTTGTTGGTGCTATCTATCATCTATTATACTGGTCCATCTGCCCGCTTTTTTTTCTTTCTGTCCTATGTTCTCTTCACCCATTCCCTCTTTCTGCTTCAACTTCATTTTCACCTTCCCATTTGGTTATCCCTCTGCAGGGGTTCTGTTGTTGTGATATGGCATAGTTCAAGGTGTGCCTCGGTGGTGTATCCCCCTCAAATTTCTTCACATGACAGTATTATCACACTGTTGAGTTCACAGTTTTCTAATGTGCTAAACTTTAACATTTCATGATCTGTCGGTTAACTGTCTCGAAAGAGAGACTTTATGTTGCCTGACAATTGCCATCTGACTTTCATATGTACGTGTATACTTTATTCATACAATGGTTGGTAATTTAATCTCTTATTTTTCAAAAACAATTATATATTGAAATAAAAAACAAAAATAACAGGTAGAATTTGCTATTTTGAGAAATTGTTTTAATCAGTAGAACTTGTTAGTGTAAGGGTTCTTAACCAGGGGTAATACACAAATGGTGGAGTTATGGGATTAGATCTCTTTATAATTAAAACAAGTGAAACAGGAGTTTCTGCCATACTAAAACATAAAAATCATAGTGGAGAAATCAACATGATGTATCAAATCACATCTCAGTAACATTGTAAGTAACTGTACCTCTATCCCATCAGTCAGCAAAAATCTCACTAGCTATTGCTAGCTTCTGTATTTGTGATTTACCATTTTTGTAGAAATACATATTATACAATCCTTACGATTTACTTTCTGCTGTATCTATCCACATAATCTATTAGCATATTTACTAATAGCAATGGTATCTAATACGACTGGTGATTACGATTTTTGCAGTCTGGTGAAGGAGGGTATGGGGACATATTGGGC